CCTAATAGTGTTTAATAAAATACAATTTATTTGTATCAAAGTTTTTATACCATATTGCCAGTATAGGTACTACCTACTGACTTTTCTAAAATGTCTAAATTATAAATTGTAATAACTATTAATAGGTATAAATTAAAATACTAAAATGTATCACTATTCACCAATGAAAAAAAAGTAAGCCCTCCTCCTTGATAAATTATCTGGATTCAACACTGACATTAGGTACTTTTAACATGGTATTACTATAAAACAATAAAATAGCTACTAACTGTTATATGTGATATAATTACTATGATAGGCATTACATGGTTGTTATTATTCAATAATTATTAATACGTAACTATTATTAGTATGTCTCGCTTTATTTCAATAATTTATAATAAAATCTTAAGTTAGCTAATTTATATTATCTTTTTCATTATTTCATTCCATAAAGCATTTTTTTTCGTTTTTTCAATTATTATTAAAAATTTAAAGATTAAAATAACAGACTATTAAAAAAAAAAATGACAACTTTTTTGTTATCTAAAAGGTAATTAAATATTCATATTTAAATATCTAAATTAAATACGTTATGAGTAATAAAAAAAAAAAAAAAAGTGATTATTATATAATAATTGATTACAGTGAATTTTTCTATATTTTCAGTCATTTCTGAGAGTTTCTATCAAGTTATATTCCCAATAATTTCGTAACTCTACACGTATTCAATATTTTTTGATATAAAATACAACAGTAAATTAAAACTTAACCTTCAATGGAAAGGTTTATTATGAAAAGCTAACCACTGAGTAATAGATCCAAACACCAAATTTTTACAAACTAGTGGTTTTTGTTTCAATAAAAGGGTTAAATAAATAAAAAAACATTGAAAAAGAAATAAACAAAAAAAAAAATCATTAATTTTTTTGTTAATATTAATATACAAAAATAAATAAGCTGCTTTTTAAATAAATTAAAACTAAAAACATACAATTATTTTTATCTTTCAAAAATATTTGTTAATTGAATATTTCAAGTTCTTGATCGTACTCGTATAATAAAATATTATAGGTATATTATATTATACTATTAAGTCATATAGAACTTTATAACCTTTACTCTAAAAATACAAATTTATAATTCTCATTACAACTTTGCTATGCAATAAAACTAAACACAACTATACTTACTATACTGTAAATGTATAGTGACTTAAGCTTTAGAAAACATTAATTTTATATAATTTTAAGTATTTACAAAATAACATTTTTAGAAAAAATTATATTATTTAGTATTTTTGTCGTAATTTATTTATAACTTGCTTACTTTTTTGGAAGGTAATAAAAAATTTAAATTTAATGTTCCTAAGCAGAATAATATTTGAAAATTTCAATCGATTAAAATCAAATTGTTAATTGGTTATAAATATATAAAGTTTAGATTAGTGGATCAACATTTCGATACAGAACCTCCCACGATCGTCTAAACTTTATAATCTAACTCATAAGTTCGTTTAAAATCAAATCTATGTATTCTATCGAAACATTTCAAAAATTACTCTACATTGAAGCAAGGAGTTTGAAATGGACGTTAAAAATATATATAAATATATAAATTAAATTTTAGTAAGGAAAATTTGTTTTTAATGTTGTAAAAATATATGAAACAATTATTTTTAAAAATGTTGGTTATTTTTAAAACGATGAGTATTCTTACGTAAAATGGATCACCTGGTTTAGTAACTTGTTATTTTATAATTGAAATAATATGAACCACAATTATAATGTATATACTTGTCTTATAAAAATGAATTTTTAGGTAAAAATATAAAATGTTAATTTTTTTTAAAGCTCCAAAGAACATAAAACGTATATATTTTATTTTTCCTTTAGAAAAGATATTGCAATCTAATTAAGTACCTACACAACTATTTTTCTTTATTTTGATTTCTATTTACATAATTTAGATTTTAGAGAACTTTGTATCGTTTTTCGAAGTAATTATTATACACCTAACTAATCATAATAAAAAAAAACTTGTTAAATGAAAATTTCAAAACGAGATTTTACTAATAACTATTTGAATTATTTAAAATTATTATTGATGATATTAATAGTTTATTTATTATAATCTTACAAAAATATAATTTAATTTTAAAAATATTTAAGTACAACTAAAATAGTTCTATAAAAATAAAGTTACTTAACAAATAAAACAATAAAAATATAACTATTAAATATTGAGTACATAAAATTATGATTCAATATTGCAATTTAATTTAATAATAAATAATACAAATCAATTATATTATGCTATTACGTCATTCAGTAACAAAAATTGTCTTATTTTTTAGTTCAATTGCTTAAATATAATTATATTGCATATATATATATATATAAATAAATTTGATGATTTAAAATATTTTATATATTAATGAATGTGAATTAAATAAGAAAACTTAGAACATGACTTTAGTTAAATAAAATAAAACATTTGAATACAACAAATATAACTGAAAGTCATGTCAAGGTGTTCCCAAATTTTAGTAGCATACACTTATTTACGCAAGGTAAATTTACCAGTGTACCAAACACTAGCCTACAAATAACCTTTTGGAATTCCCAATGCCCACGATACCAGAAAATGATAACCCCGGATACTGTAGCTTGCCCACTTGTTAAATTTATCGGTCGGCGGAATTTCCTTTTATAAATGGGTTCTGAAATATGTCCATTTTGAACATTCCAAAACCTGGTGGCGGCATAAGCGCACCCCTTTCGTACTATACTCGTCGTCCACAACAGAATTTAATATTAACTGCTTTGAATGCACATAGGGGTTGTTCTCGTATAAGATACACAATAAATTATTCGACGGGGAGCCATTTAACGGGGTAGGGCCAAAGGGATGCTGTGGTTTTTGCATAGTTCCACTACCGAAACCATTCAATGGACCAAAATCTTCGGTCACGGCCTACCTCACCGCCAATCATCGCTAAACAATTATCTTTGGCCCATTAATTAGTCGTAGTTAACAGAAACTATACTTATATATATATATATATATATATATATATATATATATATATATAAATATATACAAACAACCAGCAAGAGAATATTAATATATTTTTACTACCTACGACTATTTTCGTCGTGACTTAATATAATATCGATCTGCAAACATCATATTTATATATATATATATTCTTAATGACCCTCTTGCATTAGGAGAGGTTCCGAGATGGACCCACTTTAAAAATAATGCCTACTTGATCTCATCTATCTCCCTAAATACCATCATCCCTATACACTTGACGTAGATAGTTCGAGTGTCTGTCACATTAATTATATCTGCAAGACTGCAATGCACTGTCGCATTAGCTTGCCAACAAGAGATGGTTAGGTAACGAAAGAGATTAAAATTGTAATTTTTCATTTCAAATAGGTAAGATTAGTCGATATATATATTAACTACTTATTGAAAAAGTTGTATCAATGTTTTTTTTTTCCGATAACTAAGTTACATATTCGTTTTGACAAGTGTAATTTTCGTAAATATAAAACGGTAACATCCATACAATCAGTTAAAACATAATGATAAAATTATAAACTTGTACTATGGGTACAATTTTCATATAATAAATCATATTAGAATGTGACAGAGATAATTTTTATAAATGTTAGCTGAGTTTTAAAATGTGCATTTGTTCATATAATATATATATATATAAATTAGAAAATATAAATAAATTAAATAATATTATTTAAAAAAATTAAAGTTTAGTATTCAAATAAGATTATAAATACATTAAATACATACATTTAACACGTTAACCTAACTATAGAATACCTAATGTTGAAATTATGTTACATGAAACCTATGTATTTACTCTATAAACTGTACAATACAAACACGACACTAATAATTGCTGATTGATACAATTATTTATTTTAACATAGCTAACTACAAGACATATTTTTAACAAACACCATGCTGTATAAACAGTTTGTTCAATGTAAAAATTATAGACATCAATACTTTTCAGATAAATTAATTCTGTACGACAATACAACTACTACTACTATATTGTAATACTTAATTTATGTATTTTGTAAGTATTTAATAGGCAATTAAGCTTAATAAGAACGGAAATCGGTTCATGGATATTTAAATATTTACTGACTAGACTCTATTGAATCTCACTGTATATCTACTATATCTTAATGTGTTTAACTGTCACCCCCGATCCCGTTAAAATGGTAAAATGCAAATTTGCAAATGAAACAAAATCGCTTTTTTTTATTTATTTATTTTTTTTTTTTTAAGCCAAAAGAAAATATATATGATAATAATTTTTTTTAAATTTATTTTGTTGACTGATATACCTATAAATGTTATGTTTTTCTCTGTATTAGTTGTCATTTACGCGCCCATTTAGATCTATTGTCACGTTTAAAACTAAAATATTATTAGAAATCATTAGTTTATAAAATTTATATTTCAATTAATTGTATTGTTTGTTTGTTAACACTTTCAAATATGTTTGAAAAAAAAATTTAAAGTTTTAAACAAAAAATTTAAATTATTTACAAAACTTTTGTAATATTTGAGCTTTCATAGTTTTAATACTAATAGCTAATAAATAATAATAAAAAAAATTTACAGAACTAAATTTTATATTATTTAAATATAAGTGAAGAACGTATTCGTTTTTATAATATTTTGACTAAAAATAAATAACTATAATAATATAATTATTTTATTTTATTTTTTATGAACGTTTTTGTAAAATATTTTATTGATTTTTTTTATACTGTACCCTAAGAAGTAATCGTTTGTACAACATTAAACATAAGTTTTAATACGTTTTTGAATTTATTTGTTTTTATTTTTATTTTACTGCTTAAGTTCGTTTCTCTTTTTTTGTATATTTATATTTATCGAAATTTAAAACGTTAAAACTAATTAATGTTTTTCAAATATAATGTTATTTCTTATTGCTAAATAATATTTACCTGACTCTCGAGCTGTCATGGAACGCTGCAGGATTGTCCGGCTCAGTAAATTTCGGTAAACTGCCTTGTAGCATATATAGTCGAAACGTTAACAGTGCAACTATCTGCAAAGTTTACAATAGACATTCGTGAAATTACAAATCATAACATTTATTTTGACGAAATTTTAAGTGGGTGGTTACAAGTGGTTCTTGGTTTTGTGATTGCCATATTTGAATATTACATCAGATATAGTTAAATTAAGTAAATAATGCTTACGAGTATTAAAGCGATTAATAATATAAAAAATGAAAAGTAGAAAAAAAAGTTTTAAATAATTGTTTTTTTCTTAAGAAGTTAAAGTATATAAAAATTCTATTAAATTAATATAAATTATTTTTTTTATACGTGTATAATATATAAGTGTTCTGTAATCACTAATAAAATAGCATAATATAATATTCAGTTTTTATAAAGTAAACATTAGTATATCATTGTTTTAATCAATATAGAAAAACAAAAAAAGCCCATTACACAATACCTCAAAAAACAAATTATCATGTTATAATACAAGTCTATATTAGGTTTAAAAAGAAATACAACTTAACTTCTGAAAATATACAACTAATATAATATTTGGTATCGTTTGAATTAGATTGTCAGTTAAAAGAATAATTAATGTATTTAAATTAAAATCTAATTTAATTATTTTAAATGATAATATGTTAAATTATATTTAATATTTATCCAATTAAAAAAATATAATGTATAAATTTATTATGTTTTAGAAATTTAATACAAAACTTACTGCTGCTATAGTTTTTGGAGCTCTTCTTGTGAATGAATTATATTCTTCAGTTTGCTTGTGTTCTACCAATGACCTAAAAATTGGATATTTTCTTAAACTCAACGAGTACAATGATAATACTAGACATTACTTAGCAAACATATTTTTGTATTATTTAAATACTAAAATTACTTAGGAGTTATTCAAATCAAATAATAAATAAATAAATTTAAGTAAGATATGTACTTTAACAATGGATAAGTAAATAAATAAATAAATTGGTAGGTAGATATACATTTTATTTTTTTTAAATTTATTTTCACGAAGAAAAAATATTTAAGTTCCTGTTTTTTGTCTATATTTTAATGTCGATTAGTTTTTTTCAGGGAATTTTCAAGCCAATTTACGGATAACTAAATCCTGAAGTATACTTATATCTTATAAACAAGTAAAGATTATATCACACTATGTATTGTCAATATTAACATTAACTCATTAATGCCAGAGTTCTTTTTTTTAATGCTTACAATTATTTGAACCATAAAATATGTCACGTACAAAATATATACATAAAAAACAAAATTATTTAAAGAGTAGGTAACAAAATTTTATTTCCAAATGACTTAAAAATATTTTAGTTTTCTTACTTTTTAATATGGCCCCATGAAGAGTATATGTCATAAGCCAGATTTACCAAAAGGACCATTAGTCCGGTTTCCTTTGCCAACATTGATAATGCTCCAAATGTACAGCTAAGTAACACCCGTTCTTTACGTTTCCATCGAGTGCTGAAATAAAAAATAAAATATATTTTAAAATATAAAAAGTAAACACATATAATACATACACCTAGTAAGATAAATTGATTGGATTAAAATGATAAATAAAAGATAAATAAAACAAAATCTACATTTAAACATTTTTCTTCACTATTATCTAATCTACATATTATATTTTTATATAAAAAAAAATACAATTAATTTAGATATTCTATTATTGTTTTTATAAAAATTAAGCTTTAGCTGCTTGACTATTGGCTGCCATTTAATTTGTATTTTATTTACATGTAGTTTTGTAAAAACTATTAGTTATATGGTACTAATTAGTTAATGAGTTATAGTCCAATATTAATTTATTTTATGTATCAAAACGTGTTTTTGATGAATTTCTCATCTATAGTGGAGGTACTTAGTGATATTTTGTATGTTTCTGCTTGTTTCTATTTGTCTGCATACGACGAGTAGGAGTTTCAATATAAGCGAAACGCCACAGGTTGTGCAAATGGTTTGTTTTTCTTTGTTCGTTAGCTACCCACGAGTGAGTCGGGTATAATTTATTCTTAGGCATGTTAAATTTACTTTTTCTTTTCTGGTTATTGGTTTGTATTTTACTAATGCTTGGTTGTTAGTTTGATTTTATCTAGTTAAGTTTCTTATCTTTTCCAGTTTTTTGACGATTTTGTTCTATAGAGTTTATTTTTAAATACTGCATTTTAAGTTTTTTTTCTATCTGTTCATTATTTTCTGTAAATTTTGTCAATTTTCAATCTTCTTATTCTCTTCAATATTACTGTGCCCAGGTATCCGGGAACTATTTTGATTTTTTTTGTAGTAGTTGTTGTTTATTGTTATCAATACATTTTTTAGACTATTTTTGTATACAGTTGCCTAAGTTTTTATTGAACTTAAATATTCTGTGAAAATAATGCAATTATATGATTGTTGATAATTTTATTATAGGTATTTTATTACAAAGTGTATTGCTAACATTTTGGTGATATATGTGCTGCTGATGTTATTGACTTCTTAAGTTAATTGAGAATTAAGTTTGATGATTACTTTTCGGTTTTTGAGGCATCGAGTGTATTTTTGTAACTGTTTGTGATTTGATAATCCTCTGATCATTTTATAAAATAGTTATTTATACGTAATTGTTGGTGTATTTTATTTATTTATTTATTTTTTTTTTTTGTACTTAGCTAGTGATGTATTAAAAGATATTTTGTGTCCTATATACGGTGGTAAGTTTTGAAATTTCATAATTTATTAAATTTTTTAAAAGAATTTGATTTCCTCCAGCGAAATTATTTATTCTTGTGTATATTAGTAGTAATAATTTTCTGTTGTTGTTAAATGTATTTGTGAAACAAAAATTAAATATACTGTGGCAGATTGATTTTTGGTTTTTTATTGTGTTTAAAGTTACAAATTTAAGGACTAATACATGTTTCTTCTGTATTTTAATGGTAATTATTCGATTGTTGTTACAACTTATAAACATACTTTTTATTGGGCTGCTTTTGAATACACTTATATATAATATTAAACCTGCTTAATTTATTATGCTCAACATTTTGAAAAGTGCTATTTTAGTTGTGCAGTAAAATATTGAACACTAATAAAACACTGATCTTATTATTAAGTTGTATATTTGTAGTAATGTATCTATGTCTGCATCTCAATTTGTATTTTCTAAAACTTTTATTGTATTAAGTCTTTTTTTTTTTTATTTCCTTTTAAATTATTTATGTGTAACTTTTATATAAATTTTTCTTCAAAAGCTATTATTATTACATTGATTATTTTGATGTAGGGAATTTGTTTGGTTTTGATATGTGTTTACTTTTTGAAAATATTATATATTTTGATTTTCCTGACAAAAAGGAAAACCCTGATTTTTTCCACGTTTGTTTAGATTATTTATGGTTTGGTGGATTATGTTTTTTGTATATTTAAGGGTCTTATGCCTTTATGCCTAATCCAAACGTAGCTTTTTTCAGGATTGAGAGAAATTTTCATTGGTTTTGGTATCTTTTTAACGACATTCTTGTTTACGAATAAAAATTTAGGGATAATTGATGAAGCTTGTGCTATTCCATTTTCTAGTAAGTATAGACGTAATTTAAGATAACTTTTATAAAATATATTATTTTTTCAGTGAATTTTCATTTTTGTATTTTTTTAATAACTTTTTGCCTCTATTTAGTGTTGATGTCGTTTTGATATTTGTTTCTATTTTCGTAACGCAGTCGTATGTTCAGTATTTTTTTTCAAAAATAATTTTGTTCTTCAGATATTAATTATTTTTTTTTTTTTTTTAAAACCAGATTTTGATATGCTATATCTTTGATTATTACTCAATGTACATAGAAAAATATGGGCTTATAGCTTTGTGCTTCAAATTTATTTGAATTAAGTTTTTGGATTGATAAAATTATGACCATTGCTTTGGAAGAATATATTGTTATTATAATTTATTGTACAGGTTTAAAACGTATTCAATGGCATCAATGGGTAGTTTTTATGAGAATATTAAAGGTATGTAAACCATGCCACAGCTGCAACTTTTTTTTATCTAGTGTATATAATATGAATTCATATAGTGTTATTTTCACGTTTACTTTTTATGATTCTATGTTATGATTTCCCATAAATGTGTTTGTTTAATTTTTGTATTTTGCTTGTAATTAATAAAGTTTGAATTTATGTAACTACTGTACAATGGTTTTATAAAATGAATGATTTTAATATTGTCGGTTACTGTTTGATAATTCAGTTTTAATGCATTTATTTATGTAGATTTTTGGGATAATTTTATTGATTTTATTTTATTCCATATAATTATTGGATTTTTGATTTTAGTTATTATTTACGTATATTTTTTCCATATTATTTTCTTATTTTCTTTGATGATAAATGTTACTTTTGCTTTTTATTTTTTAAGAATAATTAAATCAGTTAGTTCTTTGGTTTTTCTGTATTTGTTGAGTGCTGTATTTTAATTGTTTACTGCGGTTTTAAAATTTTCGTTTAACCAAGTAAAAAACATTTTTTTCAGTACTCGCTCTTTTTATTGATAATAATGCATTTTGGAAGATGATGTTTATAAAGATGTTTATTTCCTTTTCACCGTCGATTAATTTTTTTTTTTTTATTGTTTAATAATTTTCCATTTGTATTTAAATTCGTTGAGTAAATAATTCCCAATTCGCATTTTTAAAGTTCCTTTTTTCTTTTGCTATGAATTTGTTGGAAGTATTAATGTATTATAGTCAGAGCTTTCAAACTTAATAATAACGTTATATTTTATAAAAAAAAAAAAAACGATTGAAATTTGTAAACATTATCATAACGGAAAACGATAAACATAAATAATTAAATAACACAAAACAAAACATAACGTTTAGGTAACAAAATATATGATATATCAAAAAAAAAAAACTATAACGCAAAACGTTATAAGTATATAGTATATCATTAAATGAAATAATCAATTTCCAATTATTTAATAGGTATAATTTATAAAATATATGAAAAATTTTAATTCTGATAACGATAAACGCAAAATTTGATTAACGTTTAAACTCTGAATAACGGTAAACTCAAAATTTGTATAACATTTTAATCATAAAGAACGTATAACAAAATTTATTTTTTCAAATGCATGCTCTTATTATAGTAAACTATAATATGTATTGTATATTAGCCATTGATCATTATTGTATAGTTCTGGTTCAACGGTTAATTTTAAACTTGTCGATAGTGTTGTTGAAGCTATAGTTAAATCAATAGTTAATAATAGTAATTTATTTTTCCACACTGAAATGTATTGGACTGTTGTCGTTTAGGAGAAACATCATATTTTATTTTCAACAGTTTGTCTATTTTTTTGTATGTTAACATCTCCATAATGTATTATGGCTATTAAAATTGCGAACGAAGATAAATTGGTGTAGGAGCTGTTTAATTAAATTTGCTAATTGTTCTATGTCAATTTTTTTTTTTTTTTGGTTTAGTGTATAATACATAATATATATAAATCTAAGATAACAAATTTTTTTTATAAAGTTTTAAATGTATTGTTATCGCAGTTACTTCGAAAATGAACGTAATGTTTAATATGTCGGTTGGGTATAAATAATCTGTATATTTATTTCTGTTCTTCTGCTAGATCTTTCTCTTATTGTTAGGTTTTTTGTATATTGAGTATTGTTTATTTGATCAGGAAAGAATTCGTAAGAATTTTTGTACCAAGTTTCTTTTAGATTTTTAGTTGGTTTTCTTTGGCAGCTCGTTGATGTATATAACTGATTTGCATATAAAACATACTATTGAGTCGCCAAAAAAGAATATTATGTGGTTTGTTCGGTTAGAGTTAATTAACATTGAATCAGGTAATTTATTTAGATTTTCGGCTCTTATATACATCTGACGTCGAAAATTCAGTATGTAGTTGAAACCTTCTATTAAAATACCTGCTCCAAGATATGTAATGTTGCTAGCGGGTATATTGGTATATTATTTAATTTGTTAAATTTATCTGTAATGATGTAAGGTATAAAGAGGTAATATGTTGGATATAATTACTCTTTTGTCTGGATTGAAATATTTTCTAGTTGTTATTGGTATGTAGTTACATTATATTGGTTCAGAGTAGTAGATAATATATAAAGAAAAATACAAAAAAAATAAAAATAAAATATATAAAAAAATAGTTTTTAGGTAGTGAAATAATTATTTTTTTTTTTCCAGTAGAATTTTAGATAAATTAAAAATATGTGTTGTAGCTTTCGAGAAATTTCTGTTATTTATATTATTGATTAATGGTGGAAAAAGTAGATTCATTGGTTTTTAGTTTTTTGATTGGCAAGCAAAGATATTTTGGAAGTTATTTTAGAGTTCAAATTTAAGGACCCTGAGAAAGAGATTTATTCCTTGAGTACGTTTTGATGGTGTACATTTAATTATTTTATTGTTATGTATATAATAGTCCAGATGTATTGTAATTG